AAGGCCAGTGCCAGCGCCGAGCTGAACAAATATGGCTTCGATGGCCTGGATCTGGCCTGGCAGTTTCCCCAGCTCAAGCCCAAGCAGCAGCAGGGCGCACTGAAGCGCGCCTGGAGCTCATTCAAGGGCTGGTTCAGCAGCTCCTCCATCGATCCCAAGGCCGAGGAGCACAAGGAACAGTTCGCCACATTCGTGCGGGAGCTGCGCGTGGAGCTGCAACGCAATGGCAAACAACTGACCCTCAGCATGCTGCCACATGTGGATCCAGAACGTGAGCATCGCTTGCCCCACCACCAAACTCAGTCTCAATATCAATATTTGCTCTGCAGTTTTCATAGACATACCCGCCGTGCTCGCCTTTGTGGACTTTGTCAATTTGGGCACCTATGACTTCCAGACGCCGCAACGTGATCCCAAGCAGGCGGATCTGCCCGCCCCTCTGTACGCCATGTACGATCGGGATGCCACACACAATGTGCAGCATCAGCTGCAGTATTGGCTCAATCACACGGCCAACGCACAGCAGCTGAACATCGGCATCACCAGCTATGGACGCGCCTGGCAAATGAGCCCCAACTCCGGCATCACCGGCTTCCCACCCATAACGGCCACGGAGGGCGCCGCCCCGGCTGGCAAGCAGACGGGCCAGCCCGGTTTGCTTAGCTGGCCCGAGATCTGCGATCTGTTGCAGCATCATCTGGGCCAGGGCAAGGACACGGACAACCAGCATCTGCGCAAGGTGGGCGATCCAACGAAACGTTATGGCATCTATGCCTATCGTGCGGCAGGCGAGAACGGCGAGAACGGCCTCTGGGTAGGCTACGAGGATCCCACAACGGCGGCCATTAAGGCCGGCTTTGTGCAGGCCCAGGGCTTGGGCGGTGTTGCCTTCCATGATCTGTCACTAGATGATTTTCGTGGTCAGTGCGCGGGCGAAAAGTATCCAATTTTGCGTAGCATCAAATATAAATTGTGAGTGCTGGAAAAAGTAAAGGATTAGACGAAAAGAAATGAATAAATATTGATATTGTTATGAACAGCAGGCAGCTTCTCTCATGCCGTTAGGTTCATATATTCCTGATGAGGATGACAAGGGATCGTTTCTATGTAACTACAAAAGCTCGAAAGTAAATTTATATACTCCTATTGCCTACGCAAGACAAGTCAATTATGTTGTTTCGATATTTGGTTTCAGTTTCATAATATCGATAAATATCGATTTTTAAACATGTTTTTTTTTAAGCATAACTCGAAGATTGTAAAAGCTAAATACAGCAAATTTTTTAAGCAGATAGAATAGTAGTACTAATTCTTTAGCATAGGGTAGATGTATAGCTTCGGTCCTTATAGTCCGATCTTTATGCAAATTTCAGGGCTCAAGCTGTGTGTATATACTATCTTTTACTAAATGTGCCTGAGTAGTATACTAGAGTAGTACATTTAGTTATATTATTTCATAATTGTCGGACCCTAAAGACCGAAGCTATATAAAACTGCATTTTTTACGCTGAGGAAAGAAGCAGCTGCCTAAAGCACGCAGTTGGCGACATTCCCTTCCCTGAATTTGCATAGTATTTTTCTAAATCGCCTTCTATGCCAGCTACTGCATATATAAATGTTATGCCAACCGGGCTAAGAGCCTTTTGCTATATAACGCTTCTCTGATGTTTGCATAGTGCTTGCAGTTTCCAGTGCAGCTACCACATTTAAGCCGCTTTTCATGGACACAACGGAAAATCGAGTGAAAATAAAAGCAAAGAAAACCCAAACCCAGACCCTGTTAACAGAGTGCAAAATTTCAAAGGACGCCTAAAAGTACGCTACAATAAATTGATACACCCAGCCGAGCGAAAAAAGTCGAGCAAGGAAAATTCCAACAAAGTGCCGTGGGGGCGGGGGGGGGGGGGGGACAGTAAGTAAACGGGCAACAAACAACAACAAAAAAAAATACCTGTAAAGGTAAATTGCAAAAAAGTCGCATTAAAGCTAACGAATCTGGCGATGCATAAGCCTGGACTCGCAGTGGGCGTGGCCGCGGGCGAGACGTCCAAAGTAAAAGTTGAAATTAAACCAATTAGTTTGCCTGCACACCCGAATCCCCGGCCCCCTGCTCTCGTCTCTGCAATGAGGCGCAAAAAAATAAAGAAGGGCGACAGCTGTGGGCGTGGCTGGCTGAGTGGGTCGAGCGGGCTGCCGGCTCAGTCGGGCATTTGGGCAGGCACCTCCTGCCACTCGCAGCGAGTGTTTTACACGACGTGCCTCTACCTGTAAACGCACCTGGCCAGGCAGGTACTCCGGCTAAAGCTGGCGGCGTCATAAATTAATTATGATTTAACAACTTTGGCATGCGCGACGCGACACAACGCGACGCGACGCGGCACAACTTTGCGCTTTTCATTTGTGTGTGTGTGTTTTTTTCTCTCAATTTTAATGAGCGCAAAAAGTTGTAAAGCTGTTTTTTTTTTTTTCAAAACATAATTATACCCAGCACAATAACAAGCAGCAAGGAGTTGCCGCAGTTCGATTGGACAAATTTTGTTTTTGATCAAATTTCAAATATATTGAAGAAAAAGTCTCGTTTTTCAAGTTTTTATTTAAGTCAAGTACAAAGGTGCCCAAAAAAAGCTGCTTATCTTGAAATTTCTTAAACAAAGCATAAAAGTCTTAATTTATGTATTTTTCCTTCAACTACAAAATATTTATAGAAATTGTACAAAAACTTAATTTAAGCAGGCAAAATCTTGCATTCAATGAACTTTCAGCTTGATACATACTTCAATTAAGAAAATTCGTACTTAATTTAAGCAAATGTAAAGTAAATGTTGAGCGTAATTTAATGAATTTTTAGCTTGCTTCATACTTCATTTAAGAAAATTCATGCTTAATTTAAGCAAATGCCTAAAAGAAATGCACAAATTGTCGACACAAAAGGGCTTGAGCTTAGTTTACGCAGGCAAAATCTTGCATTCAATGAATTTTACCTCGATTTATACTAAATTTAAGAAAATTCATGCTTAATTTAAGCAAATGCCTAAGCTAAAAGCACAAATTGTAGACACAAAAGGGCATGGTTTAACGCCCATTTTCTCTGAGTGCTTCATTTGAAACAATCAATTTTTTATTAATTTAAGTTTTATTTGCTGGCATAGATATTTAAAAGTCGATACAAGCATAGACTTTATTCAAGACATTTTACATTTGTTTAAATACAAATAAAATGGGTTCATTATAGGCTGTGATTACTTTACTGCTTGCCCGCGCCGCTCTTGATGTCCTCGAAAGCCTTTTGCCAGAGCTTGTCAAACTGTTTGGGCAGCTTGGCGCGCACCAGGTCGGCAAGGCGACGCGCTCCTTGCAGATTGGCCTGCTCATAGTAGGGCAGAGCCGAGATTCGTGCCAGCCAGGCGCTCAACTTGGGATACTTGTGGGGATCCAGCGGCGCATAGCACAGATCCAGAGTGCTCAGCGTGGCGACAATGCTGAAGTCGGCAATGGTCAGCTGCTCGCCGGCCAGATAGTCGTGCCGGGCCAGAAACTGCTCGAGCAGCGCATACGACTCGTGCAGCTGGGCAATGCGCTGCTTGGGCAGCTCCGTGGCGTGCTCCTGGAAGAGCAGGCGCTGCAGCTCCTTGAAGCTGGGAAACAGAACGCCCGACTCGAAATGCAGACGCTGATCGCAAATGGCGCGTGGCAGCGGCTCGCGCGGATACAGTGCATCATTCTTGGCATATTTCTGCACCAGATAGCCAATTATGGCATGCGAGTCCCAAATGTATGCCTCGCCATCCTCCAGCAGTGGCACCGTATGCTGCGGATTCTTGCGCACAAAATCCGCCTCCAGATGCTCGCCAGCCAGCAAATCCAGCTGCCGGAACTCGTGCTCCAGCTCCAGAGCGCGCAGCGTCAAGAGCACAGCGCGCACCGGAGGACTCAGCTCCGTGCCAAACAGGATGAGCACCATGCCTGGAAGGATCTATGAAATTGTTAATGTCACTTCAAGCAATACTTTTTTGCGGATTCTGCGGCTGCTTTAGGCCAGGCCAGACAAGTTTCTACTGACAAAAGGCGAGTCGACGAGTGCATGAAACTGATTTTGGACAAGCGATTAGATAAGATTAGATACTAACTACAAGCACCACCAACTAACTGCTGGAGACGTCATAATGCTGCAAGTTTAAGTTTTTGCCTGATTGTTTATTAATGCTACGCGTTAAGTGTCTGAGCTTTGAGCTCTTATCTATGGGCACAGCCAATATTTGCAAAGAGCTCCGGGCAAGGCAAGGCTAAAATTAGTCGCTTGGCTTAAAATTGGACGGCCCCTTAAAGCAACTAACTAACTAACTAACTGTGCTAATAGATTATTAAGTCGGTCTGACAGTTTTCATGCCTCGCAGTGCATAAATTATTGAAATCAAACGAGGGTGAAAAGTTTAGAACGCAACTTGGATACCCTAGATAAACCCTATAGACTGAGGGAGTTGCTTAGCTAGAAATATGAAATACAAGAATTTTGGTTAAAAATAATTCTGATTTTTTAGGAGAATGAATAACACTTTAGAACGCAACTTGGATACCCTAGATATACCCTTTAGACTGACGGAGTTGCTTAGCTGGAAATATGAAATACAAGAATTTTAGTTAAAAATAATTCTGACTTTCTAGGAGAAAGAAAAACATTTTAGAACGCGACTTGTATACCCTAGATAAACCCTATAGACAGACGGAGTTGCTTAGCTGGAAATATGAAACTTGCGAAATAATTTTCGACTTTCTAGCAGAAGGAATACAGGGTAGCGTTAACACCCCCAAGGTAGGGCGTAGCACCTGGAATATAGGCGCATTTTAAATGTGTATCAATTATTTGCTGCCCTTCATCAAGTTGAGTTCTTCGCCTCCTACTCGATTTTTATTTTCTTATACACGTACGTGTCCCTCAAGCCAGAGGCCACGTGTCCCCGGCCAGGCTGGGGCATATATAAGGAGCTGCCGGCCAGCGCCTTGCATTTAGTCGCAATTTGTAATCAACACCGAAGCATGGGCAAACTTTTGATCTACGGCCTGGAGGCAAGTCCACCGACACGAGCCTGTCTGCTGACGCTGAAGGCGCTGGAGCTGCCCTACGATCTGGTCCCCGTTAATATACCAGCCGGTGAGCATTTGTTGCCCGAGTTCCGGCAAAAGAATCCGCAGCACACGGTGCCGTTGCTGGAGGATGACGAGGTTTGCATCTGGGATTCGCATGCCATCATGGCCTACCTGGTGGGCAAATATGCGGCAAATGATGCACTGTATCCGACGGATAGCCGCCAGCGTGCGATTGTCGATCAGCGTTTGCACTTCGATTCGGGTCTGATGTTCACCGGCGCACTGCGTCCCATTACGAGGAGTGTGCTCTTTCTGGGCGAAACGGCCATTGAACAGTCCCGCATCGATGCGGTGGCTGAGATCTATGACCTGGTCGAGCTATTTCTGGGCGATAACGATTTCGTGGCCGGCAACGAGCTGACCATAGCCGACTTTAGCTTTGTCTCGTCGATAAGTTGCCTGGCTGTCTACTTGGAGCTGGATCCGGTCAAGTATCCCAAGATCTTGGCCTGGCTGGAGCGGCTCAAGGAGCTGCCCTACTACGAGGAGGCCAACGGCGTGGGCGCCGCACAGCTGGAGGCTATGCTTAAGTCGAAGAACTTTACAATTGTCGCTTAGTTTGGGCCTTGGCTCTCATTAAATGTATGTGTGTTGACAAACAGCTAATTACACAAAATAATATTTAAAGAGCGCCCGACACTTGAGTTCTCTTCAGTTTATGATGAAATATTTGTTTGGAACAGAAACCGCTGCGTCATGGCGTGACAGCGCTTTTGGTAGTTGAAAAAAGAGCGAGCGATCACAGAGAGAGCGAAGTATTTTTTGGAGTGCGACAAGCAGAAGAGCGCAATCAGTTAACTATCTATTCAATACACATACACTTAACTTAGTTGACACTTGCATGTGCTGTGAGAGAAAGTACCAGAGCCACAAATACTTTCTATTAATTACCCATTGGACACATTTCGGAACAAAGAGCACGTAGCTTTAGCAAAGCAATATGTAATAGCACACTCACACACACATACACACTGCGACTTGTACGCTTGAATTGTTAATAAACTAACAGTAACTAGTTTTACTCTGCCAACTGTGCTCGACTTGAAAAGAGAGCAGCAAATAGAGCTCGCTCTAAAGCTGCAGCCGCTGCGCTCTCAGTAGCACACGAGCACTTTATCTCTCTATAAAAGGCATTGATGCGCCCCCTCGCCAAGCAGTTGTCGTTCTGTCAACATGGGAAAGCCAACGCTCTACGGCTTGGACGGCAGCCCCCCCGTGCGCGCCGTCAAGCTAACGCTGGCCGCATTGCAGCTGCCGTACGATTATACCGTGGTCAATACCTTGAAAATGGACCAGTTCTCCGAGGAATATCTGAAGAAGAATCCGCAGCACACGGTGCCCATGCTGGAGGATGAAGGGGCCTGCATATGGGACTCGCATGCGATAATGGCGTATCTGGTGGGCAAATACGGCAAGGACGATTCGCTGTATCCCCAGGATCTGCTCAAGCGCGCTGTCGTCGATCAGCGCCTGCACTTCGAGGGCGGCGTCGTGTTTGCCAGTGCTCTGCGCAGCATCGCAACATTGGTTTTCCACTCGAAGCCGGTGCCCAAGGAGCGCATTGAAGCCATTGTCGAGGTGTACGATTTCATGGAAGCCTTTCTCCAGGATCACAGCTACATTGCCGGCGATCAGCTGACCATTGCCGACTTCAGTCTCATCTCCTCGATCAGCTCCGCGCTGGTCTATGTGGACATCGAAGCCGTTAAATATCCCAAGCTGAGCGCATGGATCAAGCGCTTGGAGCAGCTGCCCTACTATGGGGAAAATGCCAAAGGGGCAGAGCAATATGCAGCTTTTATTAGAAGTAAAAATTATACAGTAATTGACTAAGCGAGCGGTTATCGCGTCGAACTAGCAATCGAGAAGTTGCCGGTTCAACAGCATTTGTTCGTTTTGAGTTTTTTTATTTATTTTGTTTTTATCAATTCAGCATTAAAAGACACTTTTTTTGCTTTTTGTATTTTTAAATTTTAATTATTTAATTAATTCAAAGAAAACCCATCAACAACATTTACTGATTTTTATGCAAAGCGCTCGTGACGTCACAAATCGAAGAGAGCACAATTCCTTGCATACTCTGCAGCTCGCCCAATCGAACTGATATCGACCCTCAAAGAGCGTAGGGAAATTCAAATATGTGCCCGTTAACTTTGCTTTAACTTTACTCTCTTGCAACCCTGTTCGCCTCTCTTCGAGCACGAGTGCACATATAAAAAGCGTCGTCGCGCCCCGTGCCCGGTCAGTTAACGTCGACGCGTCGATCAGGTTGAACATGGGTAAGCTAGTACTATACGGCGTGGATGCCAGCCCACCAGTGCGTGCTGTCAAGCTGACGCTGGCTGCACTGCAGCTGCCCTACGAGTACACCGTGGTCAATATCCTGAACAAGGAGCAGTACTCCGAGGCGTATCTGAAGAAGAATCCGCAGCACACGGTGCCCCTGCTGGAGGACGGAGAGGCGCTCATCTGGGACTCGCATGCCATAATCGCGTATCTGGTGGGCAAATACGGCAAGGACGACTCGCTGTATCCCAAGGATCTGCTCAAACGCGCTGTCGTGGATCAGCGCCTGCACTTCGAGGGCGGCGTCGTGTTCGCCAATGCGCTGCGCAGCATTACCAAATACGTTCTCTTCCTGGGCAAGACCGAGGTGCCCAAGGAGCGCATCGAGGCAATTACCGAGGCGTACGATTTCGTCGAGTGCTTCCTCAAGGATAACAAGTACATTGCCGGCGATCAGCTGACCATTGCCGACTTCAGTCTCATCTCGTCGATCAGCTCGCTGGTGGCCTACATCCCCATCGAGGCCACAAAGTACCCCAAGCTGAGCGCATGGATCAAGCGCTTGGAGCAGCTGCCCTACTATGCGGAAAATGCGAAGGGTGCAGGCGAGTTTGCGGCTGTTATTAAAAGCAAAAAGTTCACAATAGTTGACTGAGTGAGTGAGTCGACATTATTAGTTTTCCAATAACTTTTCAATAAATGTTTTATGATTATTAATGGTTATCTTATCATAGATAATCGATATTGTTGAAATTATTCCGTAAAAGCTCTTTGGTGTACGTAGACGGGCGAAAGAGCGAGATAGTTGCGTCTAATGAAGAGAAAACATGCATGATTTGCCAAATTACGGGTTTTGCAGGGAATTATGCTCTTTGTGCGTTATTGTGTGCATTTCTTAGTTCATAGCGCTCAGTCATTGAGCTATAAATATTTATTTATCTATTTGTACAAATTTCCCAAATTGGAAGCTTATCTCTTAAAAAAGTTAAAGCGATTGACGTTTTACTGTAACTCATAAACTGCTGCCCAATTGAGTTTGCTCTTCAAAGAGAGAGAGAGAGAGAGAGAGCGCGAAAGGTAACTATGAAATTAGCATATTAAGAGCATATGCCAAATATTTTGGCAGCTGCTGTAAAAGCTCTTCTCACACTTCAGTGATGGTTCAGCTGACGAGTCGGCAACATGATCAAGCTGAAGCTGTGTGACCTCGATCCCAGTACGTAAACGCACGGAATTGCAGAAGAATCCGCAGCACACGATTTCGTGCAGGCTTGACCATTGACGACTTTGGTCTTATCTCGTCGATTGATGCCGTTAAATATCCCAAGCTCTAATCTTGGATGTAGCGCAGAGCACAGCTGCCGGTGTATGCAGAAAATGCCAAAGGAGCGGGACTTTTTGTGCAACGTTCACAGTGGCCACATAACGGCAGAGACGAGTGGGAACAGTCACAACAAAGTTCACAGTGGCCACACATAAAAAAAGAGAAGAGTGGGAACAGCAGCAAATGCTGAGCACGTGTTAAATAAAAACAACAGTAAGGCATACGTGAGCGGGAACTCTCTTTATTTGACAAAATCGCAGGTAAGGAATATAAAAAGCATCATTGACAATAGCTTACTCTTAAAAATACTTTAAATCGCTCTCTTAGCTTAAGGCAGCAGTTAGCCTAGAAGAAGTCTTATCTTTGCGCTCTTAACTTTAAGCTTAACATTTAACATTTATTAGATTCCTTGAGTCATTTTGTAATTTAGAAGATTGATTATGATATGCTAGTATATACATATATATTTATCTGTATATAGTTATCTAATCTGAAGCTCTTTAAATGTTAAAACTTTTGATCTTAGCTTGTGTCCTTATGACCTTCAATATAATAATTGAAATATAAACTGTTAGTTAGAGGAGCACTGACCTTTTTCCGATTGGCTTAAAATACCTGCGCCGCACTTACCTTACACATTTTGTGGGTTATCAACAACAGTTATCAGTTTATCGACTTGATTCTCTTATCGCGCTGATAAGCTAAAAACAAAAAAAAAAAAAAACAGTGTCATTGCATTGAAAAAAAATATAGACAGGTTTTCCAAGAATTCCGCAAATAACTTTAATCGTTTGTTATATAAGCGCAAATAATGATAAACATTAGAAAACAATTGTTTATAGAATGGAATTTGTCTGAGTTTGAGTTTTAGAAACGTTTCTTAGACCCAAACGCAGGAACAATCGATCGAAAGTAGAACTTTTACCATTTGAGCATTTGAGATTTTATTTGATTATCTTGTTTGTTTACATAATTAATTGGAAATGGTATCTAAAAAAGAGACTGTTCAATTATAAATAATTGACAAGTCAAGTGCCGCCCCTACTGTACGTACAATATATTAAAATGGATGCATGCTAGTCCGGCAAGCCCCTCGGATTACGGGATTGACAGTCGCGACAGCTGAAAAACTATATACATACATTTATAAACAACGAAACGAAACGGAATTAAATGATATAGTAATTAATGCAAGCAGCGATTCGCACACGATTACGGGTTGAGATAGAGAGAAAGAGAGCTTCAGTCCAGCTACAGCCGTACGAGCTCACAGACGTCTCTCGACTTGGCATAAAAATGGGTAAACTGGTATTGTATGGCCTGGAGCCGAGTCCACCGGTGCGTGCCTGCAAGATGACCCTGCACGCGCTGGGTCTGCAGTACGAGTACAGGCTGATCAATCTGCTGGCCGGTGAGCACAGGAACAGGGAGTATACGCTGAAGAATCCACAGCACACGGTGCCCATGCTGGAGGATGATGGCAAATGCATCTGGGATTCGCATGCCATAATGGCGTATCTGGTGCGCAAATACGGCAAAGATGATGCACTGTATCCCAGGGATTTCTATAAGCGTGCCGTCGTTGATCAGCGCCTGCACTTCGAGTCGGGCGTCATATTCCAAGGCTGTATACGCAACATAGCCCTGCCCGTGTTCTATCGCAACGAGACGGAGGTGCCGCGCAGCAAAATCGAGGCCATCTACGAGGTGTACGATTTTCTGGATGCATTCCTGGACAAACAAAACTATTTGTGCGGCAGCACGCTCACCCTGGCCGACTACAGCTGCATCTCGTCGGTGGCCAGCCTGCTGGGCCTGGCGCCCATCGAACAGAGGCGTTATCCACGGCTCAGCGGCTGGGTGTCGCGCATGGAACAGCTGCCGGACTATCAGTCCGTCAATGGCAATGGCGCGCAAATGTTAATTGATATGTTTAGCGCAAAGATCACAAAGATCGTTTGAGTGAGATTTGCCACGAATTTACATACATACATATTATATATATATATATACATATATATATATCAACTTGATTACATAATAAAAGGCGCACAGATGTACGGCTTGTTTATTGTCTGTAGATTACTTGGGTGAAAAATGCATATTGCACAACGAACTTGCACTCGAAATATCACATTTGGAAACAAATAAAGTTGCTTGAGGACAAACTAGTTAGGCACTTATTCGAAGTTTACATATACATATACATATATATATATATATATTAACGGTATTTAACAATATGCCGTTTGTCAAAATTGGTTGTCAAATTTTTAACAAATAATATTGCACAGAAAAATAATGCTTAAGTGCACAGAAAAGGGCGTGACAAATATGTACTAAAACTTATAAGTTTTAACAACTAAATTAGAGGCCTAACTAAGACCGCTCCGAAATGCCCTGTTATTTTGTTTTTCATCTTGCTTCTTCCTGTTTGTTTTGTCGTTTCTTTTTTTTTTTCGTGATCAGCTAACTGGACGTCTTGCGCTTCTCGAGCGCCTTCCAAACCAGTTTCATGCGCTGCACACACTCGCGATGCTGGCTTTCCCACAGCAGCGTGGTGAGTCGTCCCACGGTGGCGACCCCGTCATCCGCTCCGCGCACCCACATCAGCAGCAATTGGTAGATGACCTGCAAGCAAAAGCGTAAGGCGCAGCTTATCAGCTGGAAAAACAGTTGTGAAATATGTTGATTGACTGACTGACCTCCTTGATGTTGCCGTGCATTTGATGATCGATAATCGCCTGCTCGATCTGACCTTCGGAATGGCCAAGTTCGCGCATAATATGCTTCCAGCCCTCGCCCAGATGCGTGGCGACCGTGTCGAGCAGTCGCTCGTCGGGCTCCTGCTGGGACTGCATCATGGCCACAATGCTGACCGTTTTGCGCGGCACATGACGTTTACCATCGGCTGGTGGAATGGCGCTCGCCACCTCCTCTGTGGTGCTGGTGCTGCCTTTGCGTGAGCTGCAGGCGCTCAGGTTTTGATTAAAATTATAAACTGAGCCAAAATGCAAATTGCTGGCATTCGAGAAGTTCATCACCACCTGTTGCTGTGCACTGTGCACATTCATGGTGTTCATTGTGTTGTTGTTGTTGCCGCTGCTGCTGCCGCTGCTGCTGCCATTGACCAGCGCGTTGCCCGGTATCTGCGCGGATTGCACCACATCCATGGAATTGTAATTGGGATCGGAGAGTTCGCGCAACACCGATTCGGTTAGATCTGCTGATGCTGTTGGCGTATTGGAGGGCAGCGATAGGGCGCCGCTATTGTTATCCGTCTCGCTGATCGGCAATGCATCTGTTTCTAGTCGTCCTTCCGAATTCATATTTGTTGTGTGCGCCTCTTTGTTGCCGCCAAAGATATTGGGCAGCAAACTCTTTAGTTTTGGCATATTGTGTTTGCCGCGTGAGAAATTTGATTGTGCTATAAATAGTTTGTGCTTTCGGAAATGCCAAGAGAACGGGTGTTTTCCGTGCTAATAGAGTAAGACCACAAAAAAAGTCACTCGCTCTTTTTTTTTCGTTTTTTTTTTGTCTTTGTTGTGAATGGCGCTATGGATGGCAACAAGTCGGACAGGCGTTGCCACTTTTGTTATCGATAGCTGCGCCAGCGAAACACCCACAATATGCCAACCGACTGGCAACACCGAATTTCTTTTACCCGCAGCGCTGCCACTGCGAAACCGCCATGTGGCAACACGCTGCATTTTGCCACGTTCGCTCAGTTGCTCATTCATTCACTTTACTTGGAGTTGATATCCGTTTCGTGTGCGTATTGCAGTTCTAAGTAGAAAGTTTAAACTTAAATTAATAAAAACCATTTTAAACAAATGCGTTTAAATACCAAAACAAACTGTGCGCGCTTAAATTAGCAATTTCAATTGCACAAGTTAAAAAAAAATGTGCTTAAATTTACTATTGTGTGGGCCGCAAGGCGGCGGCGACTAGAGAGAAAATTGAGGCCGCGGCTGCCGCAACGTGGAAACTTCTTGCTTGCATTTTACAAATAATTTAGTCTAATGCCCATGTTCGACTGAAAATGCCGAATATGTTACATATATAAAAATCGCTTTAAATCATTCGAATGAAAACAACGTGTTTTTCAATAGTATTATCACCGCACGGGCTGTCTGTCGCTGTCGTCGTCGTCGTCGTCGTCGTCACACATATGCAGGGCACGGGCACTCACTCACACGCACACAGTGAAAGACACAAAAGTCAGAGCCATATTTCGTTGTCCGCTGTGGCGGTTGCGGCGGCGGAGACTACAACGTCGTCCACGCATACACCAATAAAACTATGCACACACGTACATACTTATGTATATGTGTGTCTATGTCCGATTGACAGCAGCGGGAGCAGCAACAGCAGACATACATACATAGTTGGCGGTGGCGGCGGATTTTGTATTTGTGTTAGTGCGCGCGTGCCTTTGTATGAGTGTCTGTGTGTGTGCGTGTGTGTGTGTGTGTGAGCGTGAGCCATACGATTTTTGAACTTTTAGTATTTCGTCTTTCACATACATACAGTACATCTAACCAAAATGCCCAAATTTTAAAGTGGCCCCCACACGATCAAACAAGTTGAAACCTTAACAGGCCTTTCACCCAAATAAAGCGACAGCACTCACTCGTACAGAACATTTAGTACTAATACCCACTCAGCGCTCTTTCTCGCTTACTCGTTCGCTTCCGCCTACGCACACACACACACACACACACATATATATATATATTTTATGCTCCAGTTTTGTGCGCTCAACTGCAGTAAAAACAATAATTGTCCAATAAGTGGCCCGCATGTTTATGCATAAAGGTCGCCGCAAGCTTCTGCAATAGGGCAGCGGTCGCTCTCTCCCGCTCTTCCTGTCATTCCGGACTCTCTGGAATTTATGCACATTTCTGTTATTAAACACGGCAGCGGCTTGCCAACGTTGCCATATGCTCCACCAAATTGCATTCAGTGTAGCGCATTTGGGGCGGCAGCACAAAAACATGTTTTTCCTTTTGTTATTTGTTTCATATTAAAGGGTGGCATCTTTATTGCCTTTTGCTGTTTTACATGTTGCGATGCACTTAACATATACCACATTAAATAATTAAAACTCTTGTGTATTGTGTATTCCAGCTGGAGACACGCCAAGTTGATCAAACTGGATTTTGTTAAAGGACAAATATAGGCCGGATTTTTTGGATTTTACAGTACAGTAAGTTGAACAACCTGCAACCACTAAAAAACCAAAAAAATAATACAAAAAATAACGTTACCGTACATAACTCCACACAATATTTTGTATACATTTGCATAATTTAGCATTTTTAAACACAGCCAGTGCTGCCTAACTGCAGCCAGTATAAAAGCTAGTTTTCGAAATGAGCAATATAAAAAAAATGCTATAAATACCGCTGAGTCTTTAAAAAAAAAAGCCATATTCAGCGTGGTAAAAGCAACGCTGTTGCCAGCTAAAAGAAGTAAATGTCTTCTTTTTCAGGTATGCAGTCGACTTTCATGCAAAACTGGCTACGTCAAGGTTTTTTTTTTTTTAGCTTACTCTTTTGTACATATGTACATATAGCTGCTTTTGCACATCTGACAGCATGGAGTACCTTTAAGCCAAAAAAGCAGACACAATTTGTTTAAATAACAGCATTTAAATTAATATTGGTCTAAGCAACTTACCAAAAGAAAGAAGAAAGAAAAAAATAAGAGTTTCTTTATGTAAATGTGCATGGAAAATGCCCAAGCTGAACTTTGGCTGTCTTGACGACATCAACGTCGCTGCAGCGCATGCATATGTATATAAACATTTGCATGTGCACATGTGTGTGTTTGTGTTATTTTTTGTTACCTGTGTCTTTTTTTTATTTTCGTGCTGCCTCGAAAGGTGCCAAGCCACCAATACTAAAACGACGACGACACGAAAAATCAAGAAGTGCGCATGCAGCGTTGAACACAAACACATACATACATACGTACACACACACACACACACACACGCACACACTTGCCGATCGTTTTATGTAGTTGCCGGCTATCATCCGGTTTTATAGCTCCCCCCTCCTTATAACCGCCCAGCGCTTCATCAAGCTAGACTCCCTCTCCCTCTCTCGCTTGCTCGCTTACATTTAGCGTGTTTCTTCTTTTGACACATTTTTATACGCTTATGCGTGTGGAGCATCAATGACATTGTCATGCAGTTTGTAATGCATGAGCATGTATCAGGAGAAATTTAGCTTTGGCGCTGTTTGGTTTAGTTTTTTTTAGGCAGCAATAAGAAAATAAAATTCATAGTTTGGCTTAATAGTTTTGCAATATGAACTCTACAAATTGTTGTGTTGGTAAAGCCTATATAGGGTATCTCGACATCGGCTTGGCACAGATGGATTTTCTTTTCTTTTCGTTCATTTTGTGTGTACGTGAAGCCAATGGCGGTGATAGTGGCAACGTCTTTTGTTGTTCTTCTGGCTGCTGCTAAAGCAGAAGAAAAATGTAGGCTAAAAAACTTGTTGGGCGCTGATTTAGAAAACCACACACACACACTCACACACACACACGCACGCATGGACAACCAGCTTGGAACAAGTGCATGTCTTTAACGGTATTCAGATGAAATCGTTCGTAACAAAGAATGCTGCTACTCTCGATCTCTCTCTTTCTCTCTCTCTGTTAGACAAGCTTTGTGGCCGTTTCTTAACCTTTCACTGGTCCAAACCGGACATTTTCTGGCAGTGTTTATATAACATGCACTAGTATTAGTGCACTTACACTGTACATACCTCTGTATTTATGCGTTTGTATTTATATCTTGGCTCGTTATCAGCCAGATCGATAGCTATCAGCTACATATTTGCTTTGAAAACTTTTGCCAGCGTGTCCGCTGATAGAGCACCAAAACTGTCCACTTATCAGCCGATGCTCAAAAGCCGACCTCCACATGGAGTCAACATATACACACATACGTACACCCATACATACATAAATACATAAATTTATAGGTTAGCTTGTATATACCCATTATTATTTGGCATAGCCATTACGTGGCCATTTCGCATTTTGTATAGTTAAGAACTAATGTCTAGCGTTCAAATAGAATTGGTTTATCAGCTGAGCAAGTCGAGGCCCCGCCCTCCTTCCGCCTCTATACCTAGTAAAGCACGCTGTTATCATTCGAGCGTCAACGACATGCGGGTCGCAGTCTTATCAAGACCAAAGTAGATTCTCATGTGCCTAATGCCTGTGTTTCTGGTTTATCTAGGATTTATTTTCGTTCGCTACCAGGCGAGCGAGCAGCAAAAGAAAATAAAAAGAATATATGTATATGTGTATATATGTGTGCATATGTCCACATATATAGCTCAGCTTTCACAAAGTTCAGTTAAATGCTAAGCGACAGTTGTACAAACAAAAAAATAACATAAAAATTATACCATTTGTTTGTCATTTGAAACTTTAGGTATTTCAACTAATACAATACCTCGTAAACAAATGTATTTTAGATAAATATGAGAGCTTATTGGGTCAGCAGTATGATTGCAGATCGATTATATAAATGTAAATATGTCCATGAATACGTACACAAATTCCTGTAGAGATAGGAAAACAAACAAGTGCTAAAGGGATCACAAAGTATGGATATACTATAAGACTTATTGCCCTATATATATAATTTATAATACCTTATATGCTGGGCGAGTATTTTATAAATTCTTAGTTCTATATATGACATCTTCTTATACCCTGTATTTTCTTGGTTTTTTTTTTATTTGCAGTGTTACTGTAACGACTTGGAACGAAAAAGGACTCTTCTCTTTTTTTAAGTAATGCAAGCAGCAGTCATGGAGGAATCTAACGGTAAACCAGACTCAATCGAATCCTTTTGGAACAGCACTAATTATATTATTATTTATTTTGTTTTCTGTAGCAACTAACATTGAGCAACAACCAAACGCACTCAACAATGGCCAGGAGCTGGTGTCGTCCAACGAGCAGCCATCGTCGCCCACTCCGGTGGCCACGCCCACCAGCAGCACCAGCACTGGCAATGCCACGCCCGCATTTAGCTATGACGATCTGTTCCCGGCTCTGCCGACGAACTCATCCGCAGCCGCGCCCCTTGGCCCCGCTGCGCCGGCAATTGCGCGTGTAACCAGCTCGCAGAAAACTCAGGTGAGTGCAACATGTGCAACATCTGTCATGTTGAATGCCACTGATTGCCGCATCTTGCCATTTGTAGGTTCTGCATGTGCCCATGGAGGAGCGCAAGTCGACGGAATCTGAGAAATTCGGCGAGGGCGAGTCGAAGCGCATCTGCCAGCAGATAACGAAGGAGACGGGCGCCCAGATTGAGATTGTCAGCGGCAAGAATCAATCGCTCACGTTCCTCATTAAGGGCAAGCAGAGTGAACTGCTCGATGCGCGTCGCAAGATCCTGATGAGCTTCTCGACGCAGGCCAGCCGCCAGGTGAACGTACCCCGTGAACATTATCGCGTCATTCTGGGCAAACGCGGCGAGCGGCTGCGTGAGCTTGAGCGTCTCACCTCGAC